AAACGATGTACAAATGCACTTTACACAATTGATGTGTGTATGGATTGGGATAACAGTTGTATGAGCCCCTAATAAAATGTTTTAAAAAAAACAAACCAAAAAAAACATTCTATTGATTCCTGTTAGCTAGAAATTTATTGAAGATTCTTGCATCTGTGTTCATAAGGGATATTGACTTATAGTTTTCTATTCTAGTGATGTGTTTGTCCGGTTTTGGTATCAGAGTTATACTTGCTTCATAAAATGAATTCAATAGTATGCTGTAATTTTCTATATTCCGGAATAGTTCATGTAGAATCCATGTTACCTCTTCTTTAAATGCTTGATAAAATTCTCCAATAAAAATCCTGGACTTTTTGTTGTTGGAAGTTCTTATTTGTTTCCTAGTTTCTGACTTACTTATTTCTGCTCTCATTTTATTATTTATTTTCTTCTGGTGGCTAAAGCTTTGCTTTGCTGCTCTTGTTCTAATTTTTGAGGATGTTGGACTAAGGTGTTGATTTTGGATATTTCTTCTTTTTTGATGAGTGTGCTTATTAATTGCCTTCTCAGTACTGCGTTTCCTATGTCCCAGAGATCTTGGTACATTGCATTTTCATTATAATTCTTTTCAAGGAATTTTTAAATTGTACTATTTATTTCTTCAGTTATCCAGTTATTTTAAAATAAAATGTTGTTCAATTTCATGTAATTGATTCTTTTCTGCTTGATCTTTCTATTACTGATTTCTAACTTTATAGCACTAAAATATACTATTTTTGTTAATGTTCATAGGTTTGTTATTGTCATTTTAGGTTAATAAATGTTTTAAATATTTCTCAATTTTAATTGTTAATATGGAAAATATAAGTAAATACAACACAAATAAATATAAGTTCTTTGAGGTCTTCAGTAAGATTTATAATATAAAGCATCCTAAAACCAAAAGTGTGAGAATCATTATGTATCTGAAAACTCTAATAAATGATTCATTATTATTAAGAAGAGTTTTGAAAAGATGAAATTTCACCCTGGTTGCCCAGAGGGTTAAGCATTGGACTACTTATCTGAAGGTTGGCTGTTCAAATCCCCCAGCTGCCGTGATGGCTTCATGCCAGTGGTGTCCCTCATCTGGATAAATTGTCTTTGGCTTGTCCTTTTCCCATGTAATACTTAATAGATGTCTCTCTAGAATTGATATTTGAGATTTGGTGCTTCTTTGTCACCTACACAGGAGAAGGCTGAGGCTTTCTACTCCGGTAAGTTGGAAGCCCGGGGGGCAGTTCAACCTGTCTTACAGGGTTGCTCTAAATAGAAATCAACTCGTTGGCAGTGAGTTTTTAATTTTTGTTCCTGACAACAATCCCACAGGATCATTATAAGCCAGAATAGACTCTGATGGCAGCGAGTATTTGTTTTGGCATCTAAAACTGGAGACCATGGATGGAGCAAACCATTAAGCACACCAACTGAGAGGCTGGTAGCTTTAGCCCATCCAGAAATGTCTAAGAAGGTTTACTTACCTATGTCTGAAGGTCATAGCAATAAAACCTTACCAAGTGCAGTTCTAATCTGCAACATATGGATTTAGCATAAATCAAAGTCCACAGCAACTATTGGTTTGTTTTTAATCTAATCTGCAACATATTGAGCTGCAGACTTTGTCATGTGTGAGCTGAGGGGCAGGGGTGTGTAGCGGAGAAGGTCTTCCTTGATTAAGAACTGCTGCATAGTAAGGTAGCAGAGGGGAATTGGGTCTCTACTCAAGTCCTCCCTCAAGGCAAGAAAACTTTGTTCTAATAACCTGGCATTCTGTGATGCTCACCTTCCCAACAAGATCTCTGAAGACAAAATGGGTACAGAACCAAATGTGGTGAATAATATGGTGCATAAGCTGATGGTGCTGGCTATTGAAAGATATAGCTTCTGGGGTCTTAAAGGCGTGAAGCTAAACTAGCAGGGAAGCAACAAATCCCAGATGGAAGAAGCATACAAGCCTGTGTGATCATGAGGTGTTGATGAGATAAGGCATCAGGCATCAGAAGGCCACCAAACAAACAAATATATTGACACAAATTATGAGTGTAGGAGTGGAGACCCAAAGCCCATCTGTAGATAATTAGACATTGCCTCACAGAAGGGTCACAAGGAAATAATGAGACAGCCAGGGTGCAGCACAGCACTGACAGAACACACAACATTCCTCTAGTTCTTTAATGCTTTCTCCCCACCACTACCATGATCCCAGTTCTACCTTACAAATCCGATTAGACTGGAACATGTACACTGGTACAGATAAGAGCTCTCAACACATGGAATCCAGGACAGATGAACCCCTCAGGAACAGCAGTAGGAGTGATGATACCATGAGGGTAGGGGGAAGGTAGGGGGAGAAGGAGGAGAAATGGGGAACTGACTACGATGATGTATAACAAACACCCCCTTCTCCCCCCCCCCTTCGGGACAAACAACAGTAAGGTGGACAAAGGAAGACAGCGGATGGTGTAAGATATGAAAATAATAATAATTTATAATTTATCAGGGGCCCATAAGGGTGGAAGGGTAGGGGAGGGAGGGGGAAAAACAGCAGAAAGAAAATATTTTGAAATTGATGATGGCAACATATGTATAAATGCACTTGATACAATTGATGTATGGATTGTTATAGGAGTTGTCAGAGCCCCCAATAAAATGATTTATTTTAAAAAAAACCTGCTGCACTACATCACTTCCACTTCTTCCTTTGAAACCACCAGGTTCTGGTTTGGGTGGCAGAATGAAATGTCTAATCTAGAGAAGCAGGTTAAAACATTAAGAGAGAATATATAATTATAGCTGAATTCTGATGATCATGTTGAACAAATTTATTTTTACTTCTCATTCTAACAAAACATTGAAGCAAAGTATAAAAGTGTGCATATAAGCAGGACAGAAAGAGAAAAAAATAGAAGGCGCTGGATTTGTTGGGAGTAATTTTGAACAATATTGTGGGTCAGTTCTTTACTTTTGTTTGACAGCAGTCTTTGGGGTCTCGGGCTTCCGGTGGCCAGACAAGTCCCTCACCTCTGTCACTAGGTGTCCAAGAAGAGCTCTCACATCCTGCACATATTTGAGAAGAATGCTCATCTGGTAATGGAGGTGGGGGTCTGGCACCACCAGAGGAGAGGCTAAGCATGGGTCCTCGGGAGAAGGGGTGGTCGGAGGAGGCAGAGGTCCCGGGGACTCTGCAGAAGCTGTTTCTGAAGCAGTTGGCTTCTGAGGAGCTGAGGTCGAGACGGGAGGTGCAGCCGAACCGGAGAACCCTGGATTATGGGGCAGAAGGCACATACAGAATGAAGTCTGGGTCTGGCCCTACTCGCCCCTTCCTGCTCATTCTGTATGATCCTTTCAAAGTGACCAGGGTCCCAATGGCAGCAAAACTTTGTAGATTCTAATGTCTTTGCTGGTCCAAATTTTCATCTGAGGTTTGGTTACCTCTGCTTAGGACTCTCCAGTGATGAGGGATCCTCATCAGACAGCTGTAACCATTAGCAACTCCTTCTCTATCGAGACAGGACCTAGTTCCCTAGAGCATGGATTTGGTAACTGCCCCTAGGTCAGCCTCATCTTCATGAATGACATTAGGTGAATTCCCCAGTTCCAGTCTTCTAACTTTTGAGGACGTTTTCCTGGGCATTTGAGCCACTTCCTTTGCAGGACAAACATACCTTATTATTTCTTTAATATGGCATGGTTTCAAGCTTACTCATCACCCTGGACACCCCCTCCAGTTATATTCAGGCCAAGTACAGCTTTCTTAAAGCTAGATCCTAGAACCGAGCACAAACTCCAAACTATCCCTATCCTTATTCTCGATAGTATCTCTATAAATGCCCAGAAATCAGCTTGGAAACATAAGGTCTGAGATGACTATAGAGCTGGCTCAGATCTTGGTTTGGTGAAGCATGTTTGGTCCAAGGTGCATGTTCTCTATTCATGCCTTCTTCTATCTCTAGGGACCCTAGCTAATTGTTCTAATCTCTCTACATCCCTTCTTTGCCTGCTTACACTGACTTAGTACCCTAAGTTCCTTCACACACATGCACACACACCCACACACCCAGCAGATACTCACACATACAAACTCACCGTGCACCCTGATCTCAAGCTGAAGGCTCTGTTTCCACACTTGGTTGTCCTCAGTAGTTGCCTCACACCAGTAGGACCCAGAGTGCTCTGAGGAAACTGCAGGGATCCGGAATTCTGAGAAGAGGCCCCTGCTGCGTAGGGTGTTACCATCCTTGTAGAAGGAGAAGAAGAGGCGTGTGGCTGACCTCTGCAGGGGCAGCTTTGTCTGACAGCTCAGTGTCACTGGGCTCCCCTCTTGGGGCTCAGTTGAAGGTGTGGCACTGAGAACCGGGGTTGGAAACAGTTCTGAGGAGAGAGATGAGAAAGGGCCATCCAGCCCACATTCAGGAGGACCCATCAGAACAGGCTAAGAACCGCAGTCACAAGTTTACTTCATGAATCGGCTTTCTTTGAAAAGTTCCATTTGAACATTTCAAGTTTTCACTTTTCAGTAAAAGTAAAATAAAATTTAAAATCCAGGGATGGAAAGAGCTACGAATGATCCAGACATCCAGTCAGCAAGCACTGAGAAGCAGGGGTCTAAGCAATAGGAAATATGCTGAACTCAGAAATGGGCTATGAACTCAAAAAGACAGTACAGTGAACCCTCGTTTATCGCGGTTAATCGGTTCTAGACCCTGCCGTGATAAATGAAATTCCGCGAAGTAGGATTCCTTATTTGTAAATCAAATATTTTCGTAGTTAGAGCATAGAGGACATGAAAAAGCACCCTTTAGTCACCATTACACTCGTATTACCCAAAAGCAAAAATGCATCTGATACATAGCTCCGATACGTAGCGATGCAGACAGAAGCGTGTACAGTATGAGCCAATCAGTGGCAGTAATGACAGAGCATGCGCTGTTACACAAAAACCGCGATAGAGTGAAGCTGCGGAAGTCGAAGCGCGAAGTGGCGAGGGTTCACTGTACTGAGATTCTGTCCCTCCCCAAGTCCAGCTGGGGTATTTGATTAGTTTTCCAACTCCAAAATATGACCAACACAAAGTAAAACATTTGTTTTGCAATTTACAATCTACAAAAGCCCTCTCGGAACAGTGCTTAACCCTCTCCATTTCCTGCAGTGGAATCGGCTCATTTTCCAAAGGATAAAATAGTAGCGCAAAGAGCTTCACAAGCAGCCCACAGTTGCCTTTCCTAGGTGGAAGTACCCGAACCAACAGCTGGGTCTCCTGGCTCTCAGACCAATGCTGTTTAGTCTATGTAGCTGAGGATTTTGAAACATTTCAACCACTGACCTGCTGCTTACACCTTCATTGATGTTGTCATCTCCAGGCCAAAGAGGGACAGTTTTGAGTTCAATATCTTTCCCCACTCAACTCACTATAGTAACATTAGCTCTTGATCTCACCTTGGACGCTGATGGCCACAGAAGATGCTGTTTCTGGGATCCCAGGACCAGGACTCCTGAAGATACCACTGCAGTGGTAGTGTCCACTGTCTGCTTCTTGCACCACCGGGATGGTGAATTCCTGGTTGGGTCCAGGGGGACCCAGGGCTGAGCCGTCCCGATAGAAGATGACCTGGGTCAATGGCCAATCTTGCCAGGCTCGGCAGCGCAGAACCAGTGAGTCTCCTTCAAACACAGGCCTGGAAGGACCTTGGAGGATCAGCCAGTCTGTGACTCAGGACAAGAACCGAGTGTCATCAATGCCCTTCCTTGGGGGTGCCCTAGTGCTGCCCTCAAACAGACTGTTCTACATTTTCTTTGAGGTTCCAAGTAATTCTAACTGCTAGTTGGGAGTGTGGACCAACTTCTGAAATGCCTTCGGTCTGAGGGCACCCTAGCTACTGTGAATTGAAGACAAGAAAGAAAGAATCTCTTCCCTTGGTCAGTTTTCTGGGAATTAAGTGGTCTGAGGGACAGAAAAGAGAAATCTGGGAATGGGAGAAAGCCTGAATTGGTCAGCTCTGCCCAGGACCTCACCGTAGGACACGATTAGATGGAAAGGTTCACTGAAAGTGTAGCCTTTGATCTGGAAGCCATCTTCCTTTGGGCCAGTCCACTCGTCCTCGTCTGGGTGGCCGTTGCTGTCCTGGAGGCTGACAGATCCCGGGGCTATGAGCTCTTCACATGGAACCTTCTCAAGACTGGCAGCTGAAAGGGGCAGGGCTCACAGGGGAGAAGGAAATTATGCTGGGACTTGGAGGGAAAAGACAAGGACTCACTATCTTTCTGACGGGACCTAGTCCTAGGGGATTCAACATTTTTAGAGTGAAAGTGGGAAAACCCAAAGCTTTCTTCCTCCAAAAGATCACCTGGGTCCTGGGCCATCATTTGACCTGGTTCATTAGCACCCTGGTACTTTCAGTGATAAGCCCGTGGTCTGGGGCAGAGGAGTAGAGCAAAGAATGGAGAATGATAAGTTCATCAGCATGTCAGCATGACCTCCAGCTGCTAGGACCAAAGACAGGGGTGACCCCGGAGCAGGCAGATCTAGGACAAGGGGGGAGAGCAGATATAGGACAAGGAGGGGGGAAGGCAGCTATAGGACAAGGGCGGGGAGGGCAGATATAGGACAGGGAGGGCAAGAAGGATATAATTCTAACATTCACTAGGTGTTTACCATGTGCAGCCATCTTCCCATACTACCTTATTTAATATGCTTAAGTGTGCCAGTTGTGTGATTCATCCCCATTGTATAGAGCTTAAAGAAAAAGGCTTAGCCAAGTAAGTTAATTTACCACAAATTTAAAGATATAAGGAACATGGTAAAACGGTCAGGCATGTCTGAGTCCAAAGCTATTAATCTTTTTCATGTGACCGTTTGGATATAGTCGACTTTCAGTATTTCAGACTTTGGGAGTGGGGGCCTTTTTCTTTACTATCTCTCTCTCCAAATGGATGTGGCTCATCAGCCTTAAATGGATTCTCTGCCATACAGCTTTCAGTAGCAGAGACACTCTCCCTTTGTTGCTTCCAAGTCAGTTCTCCATTTTTTAAAGTATCTCAACGTTGATGTCTTCTGCTCCTTGAACTTTTCCTGGCAACAGCAGAACTCTTTCTATATACACTGCCTTCCGCTCCCACGATACACTCTTATCTGTGGAAGAATTATTTACTTCCAGGTTGAAACTCAGACTTTGGGGTTTCTTACCACATCCTCTCAATCTACACCTCCGTGGCTGACCAAAGTTACCTAAGTAGTATTTCCCCCATTCCCTTGTGCATTTTAATCCCTTTCTCCCTATTCCAGTCCCATGGTCACTTGACATGTATACACTTCTTCACTCTATCCTTTCCTACCTTTTACCTTTATTCTCTTCCACCTTCCAAGACCCCAAATTTCCCTTATCGAGGCCCCTTTCTACTTCCTAACTTGTATCACATCGTACAAACTGTTTTATTTAGATCCTCTCTTTACTCCCTTCACTACTCTGCTACCACTTTTTAGTTCCTCTACTATCATTATCTGGACTCAGTGTCTTCTCCTTTTTCTCTGTTTGAAAATAAAGTTTTGTTGGACTACTTCTACACAGCGGGAACATTCACACAATTAACTTTGAGTGGTAAGTATTATTAGTCTCAATTTAAAAATGAGAAAACGGAAGCGATAGAAGAGTTACATTAGCTAGATAGTTAGATAGAACTGTTAAGTAGAAGAAGAGTTTCACATCAGAAAATCGTATTCAACATCTGGAGTTCTTGCCAAATACTGTACCTCATTGCCATTAAGTCAATTCGACTCATAGCAACCCTACACAAGGTTTCAGAGATTGTAAAGTTTCTTTGAGAGTGGACAGCCTCATTTTTCTCCCAGGGAACAACAACAACTGATGGATTTGAAACCCCTCATCCCCCACCCCCATCCTTTCAGTTAGCAATCCAGTGCTTACCTGACAGTGCCACCATATAAAACCTGCGGCCATTGAGTGAATTCTGACTCATAGTCACCGTTTATAAGGGTTTCAACACTGTAAATCTTTATGGGAGTAAATTGCCTCAAATTTTCCTAGAAGAGTGACTGATAGATTTGAACTTCTGACCTTGTGTCCAACCTTACATATCAGCACCACCAGAGACACCACCATACAGCAGTATTTTAATAGTGGCTTATCTTTGTAGCTGCTAATGGAAAAGTCTGTCTCTTCCATCCTACAAGGTTGCTATGAATTGAAATTGACCAGATGGCAGTGGGAAGAACTGAAAGAAATCCCATTTCTATGAGTTCAATAAGACAGATCAACAAAACTATTAGGCAGGGACAATGCAGGCAATGAAGGATCAAATATGAATAAGACAAGGTTAAAAACAAAACAACCACAAAAGCATTAGGCTGTCTACAAATAGCAAATGACTTGTGGAAGTCACAGACATATAAGGAGATTATTCCATCATGAGAACTGAAGGAATAAGAAAGAAGGCTTACAGACAACCATGAGAGCAAAGATGGTGGTGTAAGGAAGGTTTCCTGGTTAGAGTACCACCTGAGCTGTTTTTACGAATGCCTAGAAGGAGGAGAAGAGTCAGAGGCCTTACAGAGACCTGCTTTCAGGTAAATTTAGCAGTATAAAAAAAGTCTTGGAGACAAATAAAAATCTGGTCTATGAACATGTGAGTATAAGCAAGTTGGTATTTATTAGAGCACATATTCCAAGGTTCATATGGTGGAGTAGTGAGGAAACGTGGTGGTGTAGTGGTTATGCATTGAGCTACTAACCACATGGTCAGCAGTTCTGAACCACCAGCCACTCCAAGGTAGAAAGACAGGCTTTCTACTCCCATAAAGAGTCCCAGGGTTGGAAACCCACAGGGGAAAGTTTTACTCTGCCTTCTAGAGTCACTATGAGTCAAAATCAACTCGATGGCAGTATATGTGGGAATAGAGATGGAAGAGATTAAATAGGGGCCAGATCATGGTGGTCCTTGTATATCATGATAAGAAACCTGGGCACTTGGAGATTTTAAATTTAAAATCATTCTGGCTGAAGAGTGGAGAAATCACTTCAAGTGCAAAAGATTGAAACAGTGAGATTAGTTATGAAGTGTACTGTAATAGCTTATGTCTGAGATCACAAAGGCTTTTTCTAGACTAGCATTAGTCATGAGTGAGGGAAGAAAAATTTTGTCAAGCTTGATGATTGATGAAATGCAGGTGATGAGAGGAGGGAGTGTAGGTTGTTCCCCAGGTTTCTGTCCCTGCCTGGATGCTGGTGCCAGGTACTGAGATTAGAAAGAGTACAAGATGAGTTAGAAGAGATGGGATGAGGTGGGCAGATAAGTTCCACTCTGATCATATGGTACTGAGACACCTGTGAAACATACAGGTAGATATGCCTTGTGGGAAGCTTGATATTTGAATGTCCAACTTAAAAGCATGGTTATGGTTGGAGATATGATTTGGGACTCATAAATATGCAGTTCTAGTAGTAAACATTATTCAGACAAAAGAGCTCACTAGGGGAATTGTATGAAGAAAGGAAGGCAGGCAAAGCTGTAACTGTAGCAAGCAATGTTCAAGTGGAAGAGAAGATCAATCACCAAAGGGACCAAGAGTATATGGAGAAAATAGTTCCAGCAAAACTGGAGAGTAGGAAAAGCCACGAGTAAGTGGTCAACTTGCCCAGTGACATTGAGATGTCCAGCAGGATAAGAAATAAAGAGTATGTGATGGTCCAGTCAATATGGAGGACATTGCACCCTCGGTAAAATGATTACAAGTCTGGAGAAGTGAGTGAGAAGGGGAAATGTGTAGATAACAAGTGCTCAGTACTAGTTCAAGAAAATATTCTGAGCAAAGCACAAAAAGAGTTGAGATTGTAGCTGCAGAGAAGGGAAAGGCTGAAGGGAATGCAAAAGGTTGGAAGATCTTTATCAAAAAACACACCCAACCCTACCCTCAATACTCCTTTGGAGGACCAAAATTAGTTCACATTACCTTCCCATTGTATCATTTCTTCAATTCAGGAATCTCTCTATTGTCACACTAACATTCAAACATTTTACTTACCCAGTAGCACCGGGGCTGCCCAGAGCACAGCCAGGAAAAGGTAGGGAGTCCAGCCCATGAGAAAACAGTCCAACTTCATGGTGACTATGTTCGGGTCTACTGCAACCTTCAGTGCACTAACTTTCTTCAACCTGAAACCTCTCAAATTAGAAAAGAGGAACTAAATCTAACTGCCTCATACCCTTGTCTCAGAGACCTGTTTTCAAGTTTGTAATGGGCTTTCATCATTCAAGTGCTGCCAGGCTGGTTCCAGTGCCGTCTGTGTCCTTAGCCCGTGGACAAAAGGCTAACCAGGATTGTTCAAGAATTCCTTCACCGAGCTCAAAGACCCTTGTAATTACCTGGTGAGCAACTGGCCTTACATCCACTCTGGGAAGAGGTCAAGGCAACAACCCTGTTTCACTGGTGGAGGAATTGAGGACAGAAGGTGAGACATTTTTGGGTGGCTTTCCAGAAAATCACAGAGCAACAATAAAAACTCAGTCCTGCCCATTCCTGCTACAAACCATATATGTTTCCAGTGAGCAAAACCTAGGGAGAAAGCTGGTTAATGGCAGCAAGTCGGAAATCAGATTAGTCCCTTATAGGCTTCAAACAAAATTCTACACGAATTTGTACACACATTTCAGCTCTTTGTCTGCTTTTGTAGCAAGACTCAAGCTGTTCAGTCAAAGGAAATCTGAGCATGATGGAAAGATAGTCTCCTGGGAGAAAGCAGAGGGGGGTGGGGTGGAATCTATTTCCAAAGGACCCAGCAGTAAGCTCAGCGCTGAAGCTCATGGTCAAAGCTCAAGCCACTGACGCGGAGGAAACTAGAGACAGGAGGCATCTGATAGCTTGAGAAACCTGAGGAGACTCAAGAATAGGGACAATATGGAGGCTAAGCATCTCTCTTCAGTTCTAGGTGGCCTTATAAGAACCGATGTCCTTGTTTGCAAATGGCAGGGCCAATACTATTTTCCACAGTGACTACTTCTTTTTCTTTTCCCACTGTAACAGCCACCAGGCTTCCAGGTGGTTATTTGGAGATGACAGTGAATGGCAGATAGGAACAATCGTAAGTGGAAAAAGGCAGCCCTGCTTGAAGGCATATGGAGGAACAACATGACCCTTCAGCTGTGCAGAACCCACAGTCAGAGTAGATACATCAGCAATGTACAACGTGGGTGTGAGGGATTGGATAATGCTCACTCTAAAACAGGCCGTTAGAATAAACTTTCCATTATCTGAGAGGCATGTGTTTTTGTGCAGTTGGCCCCAGGGAATCCAGGAGGGGCTGAATATGGGTGTGAGAGGAAGCAATGAGGCAGTAGACCATGCAGTTGACCTCAGAAGAGGAAGAAAAGTGGAGGCCAACCCTAATCAAAATGAAGTAGATGACATGTATTTAAATGAGCTTCCATCTTTAATATTCCCTAAGACAAAGATTGTCAGCGTTAGAGAGATCTTTCAAGGGACTTCCAAACCAAACTCTTGCTTTTCTCCGGGTGCCCCCTCTCCTTATATGCTCTTGCCTTACCTGACGGAGACCTCCCTCTGTATCATCTGCAAGAAGAACTCTGAAGATGCAGGGTGAAATTACCATATTTTCCACATTTAAATTCCCACTAAACCTCTGGGAAATTTTACTACCTAAAGCCCAATTACTGAACTACTTAGAATAGGTGTAATTCATGGGGTAAAAAGTAACATCGAGTCTGCTACATACTTATGCAAACAGATTCAGTTCATTGAGTCAGTTCGTCCATTAAGATCACTAAGATCCAGTCCCTGTCCTTCTCCCAAGATCAAGTAGACATTTCATCCTCAGCTATTTTTCTTTACTTTCGAAGTTAGTAAAATTATATATATGAGGGGGTACACCCCCCCAAAATGGATTTTTTTCAAAGCTATGTATTTAATTTAAAAAAATTTTTTTACAAAACAAACCTTAACACCTTCAAAGTACTCTCCATTACACTTAATACATTTGTCAAATTGGTGATTCCATTCTTGGAAACATTTTTCAAACTCATCTGTTTAGATGGATGACAGCACCATGCTCGTTTTTTTTTTCTTCACCTCTTCTACGTCATCAAATCCCTGTCCTTTCATGTCCCTCTGCTTGTGTGGAAACAAAAAGAAGTCTCAGGTGAGTTAGATGCGTGGGGCAAGAAAAGCATATTTTTTGCCAAAAACTGGTGCACTAAGATGGCTGCGTGAGCAGTTGCATTGTCCTGGTGGCAAAATCAGTCCCCCATCTGCAATAAATCAGGCTTTTTTGTCACACACCATTACACAATCTTTTCCGAACCTCTAAATAAAAAGCTTAATTAAAAATCTGACCTGGTAGAATTAGCTCCAAATGCACTATGAGTAGATATTTTCATCCATTTAGAAAATGGATTCAGACATCCAGAATGAGGTTTGTTATCAATCTACATTTCATCTCTTTTGAAATGAGAAAACCACTCATACACTTGAGTTTTTCCCATAGCTCTGTCCTTGTCAGCTGTGTTCAACATCCCACAGTTTCTGTGGCATTTTTCCTGAGCAGGAAACAAAATTTTCCAGCCACACGCTGTTCTCTTAAATGGGCCATCACAAAAAATGAAGTTCAAGTGAAACCGCTTTCACGAAAAAATTCACTGTGACCAGAGAAAAGATTCACAGGCGATGCCACTGGGTGCACTAAGAGTGAGTTGCTTGATGCTCACCTAACAGGAAAAAATGTAAGCTATGAAATCTCCATTCAGCCCAGTGCAATTCAGCATTTTGGGGAGTGCCCCTTTGTGTGTGTGTGTGTGTGTGTGTGTGTATGATATGAAGTTACAAATAATAATATGAAAGGTACACACTGGTACCATGTGTTTAGGAAATAGGATACTACCATGGTCCTTGAAGCACCATGTGCCTTGTCTGATTACATTCAACTCCCTCCCTATCAAAATCAACCATAGTCCTAATCTTGTGCTTTTCACTCACTTTATCTTTTAATTGTTTTTTTTTAAATCATTTTATTGGGGGCTCATACAACTCTTATCACAGTCCATACATAGATCAATTGTATAAAGCACATTTGTACATTCGTTACTCTCATCATTCTCAAAACATTTGCTCTCCACATAAGCCCCTGGCATCAGCTCATTTTCCCCCTCCCTCTCAACTGCCCCCTCCCTCATGAACCCTTGATAATTTATAAATTATTA